TTTTTGAAAACAGGCTCACAAGGAAAAGGGATAGAAATCCTACCTCGCACTATCAAACCTGGGACTAGCGTTGCCTTTTCCGGCTTCCGCTTCCTCAAACCCCTTCAGTCTGAATCCTTAGCGATCACTGATGCAAGACAACACTTTAGGATTAATTCTCATTCCTAAAGCAATCCAAATCTCAATTTCTGACCAAGATTTCCTATTAGTGTGCCCTAATCCATTTTCATGTTTCACATTATCATTCCAAGGGTTTTCAATCTCAAAACAAGGATTAAAGATGCTAATTCATTCATCTCAAGTCCCCAAATGAAACTAATTTGGGTTCTCCCCGAAAACAGGGGTCAAAACAGCACTTTCAGGCCAAATAGGGTCAAACCCCGTGTCAACCGGTTGACCGGTGACAGAGCAGTGCAACACTACCGGTCAATCGGTAGTGTGCAGACCAGTCGACCGGACCGATCGACTGGTCAGCCTTACAGTCCGGTTGACCGCATTGGTCGACCGACTTCCATGTGATCCGGTCGACCGCACTGGTCGACCGGTGGAATCAGCTACGCGAGAGAAGCTCGCAGAAATCAATCCAAAACCTGCAGATCCAGTCCCAAATCAAAATATTTCAAAGGAAAACCACTAGATCTGGGTTCTAGGTCCTAAAACAAGTCCAAAGAACCCAAGATCTCCAATTTCTACTCTAGTTTTGCTCAAAAACCATCAAAATCCGGTTTGAACCAAAAATGGGTTTTGAAATCCGAAAACGTAAGATTCAAGAGAGGTTCTTTCAGTAATCTTACCTCGAATCCTTCTCTTGACGTTGAAAACTTCTTTAAATCTTTGCTTGGTTCAAGATCCGTTTGATTTGGGACAAAAATGAGAGAGAGAGAGTGAGAGTGAGAGAGAGCACGGGAGAGTGAGGGAGAGAGACACACGGGAAAGGAAGAGAAAAGAAAGGAAAAGGAAAAAGGGAAAGAAAAGAAAAGGAAAAGAAAATGACATGTGTATAATATTTTAAAAGAACAATCCAGAAATGCGCCCATACACACTTCTGGTTTAAAATAAATTACTGAGAATAATTTAAATTCTTTGGAACTATTTAAACTCACACGTGTCAGAAACATTTATTAATTAAACTCAATTAATAATTCATATTAGGCACATTAATAATCTTAATTATCTTAATTAATCTCAATTAATTTTTCAGGGTGTTACATCAATAGTATACTAATTTGTGATTTTATGGTTGATAGGTTTGGTTATTTATTTATGACAATGATTAACTAATTTCAATAAAAGATAAATCATAAATAAATCAAAGATGTACCAATTCAACAGTAATAAACTATCGGTATTTCATTGATTAACTACTTAAAAAAAACCATTTACCTAAAAAAAGCTCGGTCATTTGTTAAAAACGCATTCAGTCATTAATTAAAAGGAGTGTTCAAAACCGACCATCCACCTAATTTTAAATTGGTGTCATATATTTTAGCAACTTTAAGTTAAATTATAAATAAAAAGAAAAAGAAAAAATTCTACACATAAATTATTTTCTTTAAAAAAAAGTATATGTCCCTATTTTACAGGAAATAGTAAAACCATATTTCATTAAATAATTCAATTATGTTGTTGTCTCTTATTGTACAAAAAAAAGTTATAACTATACCCCACTCAATAATAGAAATATATTTAAATATGTATTCATTCAATAAAATATTATTTGTATTTTTTTTTTCATAGTGTCCCCCTATTGAAAAAAAAAAAAATTCTAGCTCCTTTGCTGCTTGAATTATGTTTTAATTCAATATTTTGTATTAATTATTTTTGTACAAGAACTTATAACATAATAAGTTATCTATCTATTATTCTATTCCAGTACAATAGTTCACTTTAAAATTATCTAGTCCATCCTCTTTAGATTTTGTTTGACGAATAGAGTGTAATTTAGGAAAAGATGCCGATTCTTCCCTTTTGAGTAAAAAACAAAAAAAAAAAAAAGAAACAGAAAGAGAATAAAAAAATTGTGTGATTCTTCCTGTACTAGAATAAAAAAACAAAAACAAAATAAAATTCTAGAATCATTAAAATGAAGCGATTTTTATTTTTTATTTTTTAAAAAAGAGCTTGTTTGATAAGAATGAAAAAAGAGAGGAAGGGTAGTGGTGGGACGATTAATATTGAAGTAACTTGAGGACCTGATAGGAGGGAAAAGAAGAATGAATAAGGTGAGTGATTTAGGTCATGTTAATTTTATCGATTTGAGTTTTTAATTTTAATTTTATTACAGTAAAAATTTTTTATAAAAAATTACGTTTAATTTTTTTATTACAGTTAAAAATTCTCACATAAAATTACATCTTAACTTAAATTGACGAACTGAACAAGACGTTAATATTTTTAAAAAATCTCCATTGTTATTCTCTCCCGATATGAAAATATTAGATAAGGGATCTATACCAAACATAACAAGAAATATTGTACTTTTCCTTTCCATTTCCCTTGCCTCGGTGGCAGAGCCATGCCATGTGGAGATAAGGTCACCCCCACTGAGTTTTTTATTTTTTAAAATAATTTTTAAACATTTGTGATTTTCCCATTTTGTCCCGTTGAAATAAAGTTTTTTTTCGTATACTCCCTCACTAAATTGCACATTTTTATTACTTCTAGATAAAAAATTAGGCCTCATTCACTTCACTAATTTAAATTTTCAGTTTTAAGTTTCAACAGTAAAAAGTTCTTAGAAAATGTCACATCTAATTTTTTATGTTACAGTAAAAAGCTCTCAAAAAATGTCACATATCAGCTCGAATTAAAAACTTGAATCCGCGAAGTTAACGAGGTCATATCCTGCAAAAATAGAATTCTGACTCCGCTACTACCTCGCCTCACTTATGTTACATACATTTCTTCTTCCTTTCCTATTTTCCTTCCCTCTTACAAAACATATAAAAAAAAAAACAAAAAACAAAATCCGCTGATGTTCCAAGCAATAATACGCCAAAAAAAAAAAAATTACAATCTCTATCTTAAGTAATACAAACTCTTATTACAATTCTTCACTTATTTCTTAAACTTGGATTTTGTGTGTACCGGGACTTTTGGCCACGAAAAAACAAGAAACGAAACAAAACCATCTTTGTACTGAAAGAATCGACCATAGAGTTGGGACTCATATATGACAAACTAACATGTCAATGTTTGTTTCGTTCTACCCAATTGAACTGTAAAGATTCGCTGTTTAAACAGACAGTATATATATATATATATGGTACACCTTCACGG